GCTGTATAGTATTCCATTATGTAACTATACCATCATATATTTACCCTTTTACTCTTGAACGACATGTGGCTTGTCTTCATTTGGCTATTACAAATAGGGCTACTATCACCATTCTTGTATATATCTTTTGTTGAACATATATATTCATTTTTGTAGGCTAGATACCAAGGAATCAAATTGCTCAATCATAAGATCTATGGTTTTTTGTGTTTTTTTTTAAGATTTTATTTATTTATTTGACAGAGAGAGAGACAGCGAGAGAAGGAACACAAGCAGGGGGAGAGGGAGAAGCAGGCTTCCCGCGGAGCAGGAAGCCCGATGCGGGGCTCAATCCCAGGACCCTGGGATCATGACCTGAGCCGAAGGCAGACGCTTAATGACTGAGCCACCCAGGTGCCCCTTAACTTGCATTTTCTTAATGACAAGTGAGGTTGAGCACCTCTTCATATGCTTATTGGCCATTAGGGTGTCATCATTTGTGAAGTGCTTTCTATTCCATGCCATTTTCTTACTAATAGGGAAGAGTTTTTTTTTTATATATATTTTTGTGTTCGTCCATTGCCAAATTTTTGCCTTTTTACCTAGTGCTATTTTCTAATGATCAGAGCTATTTTATTAATATAATTCACCAGTATTTGCCATTCATGGCTAGACCTATAAAAGTCTGACTGTCCTGAGGGCACAAAGGTATTCCCCTGTGTTATTGTCTAGTAGCTTTACTGTTTTACTCTCACACTTAGGTCTACTTGTCTGCCTGGAGTTGATATTTGTGGGTGTGTATGATATAAGGTAGGGGATTCCTTTTTTCCCCATATGACTGTCCAGTCAATATAACATCCTTTGTTGAAAAGACCGGCATTTTTCCACTTCTCTTTAGTATCTCCTGTGTTATAAATCAACTAGTCACATACATGTGGGTCTCTCCCTGGACTCTGTTCAGTTCCATTGGTCTGTTTGATTCCATTGTACCAATACCACACTATCTTAATTATTGTAGCTTTATAATACTGATTTCTGATAGTAAAAGTCTCCAGCTTTGTTATTCAAGACTGTCTTGAATATACTTGGCCCTGTATATTTCCATATAAATTTTAAAGTTAGCTTGTAAATTTCCACAAAAATAATACCTGCTAGGATTTTTATTGGGATTACATTGTACCTTTAGATCACTTTAGGGAGAATCAACATATTTACAATATTGAATCTTTCAAATTATGAACGGATTATGTCCTTTGGTTATGTAAGTCTTGTACATCTTTCATTAAATTCATTTCTAGGTATTGCTATTATAGATGGTATTGTTTCTTAAATTTTCTAATTATTTACAATTGAGATGTAGAAATACAGTTAATTTGTGTATATTGTCCCTGAATTCACCTTCCTGAATTCAGTTATTAGATCACTGCCTTTCAAATTCTTTTTAACCGTAGAAGTAACAGAAGTTTATTGTTAAACAAAAACACAGTAATGTGAAAGGAAAAAGGAAAAATTCCCTCCTTCCCCAACCCTACTCTCCATGTCCACACATACTCTCATAGAAAGTAATTAAGAATGGGATATTATACCTGCTCAGGAGAACCATGAATCATGATTAAATTTGACAATCATTTTTGAGCTTATATTGTAAACCTCTGTATTCATGACGTCCTCGTACCTGAGGCATGAATTTTCCTGACCACCAGGTACATGGACCTTTTTGACTGGTTTTTAACATGGCTTACTTTGAATGAGCCACCAGGCCTTCCAAAGGGAATTCCATTCTTTCAAGCAGTCTGTATTTTTAATTTGGACCACCCTGACACACTCTGAATATGGCAGGAAGTTCATTTAACTGCCTTCATGTGCTAGGTTAACAGGCAGGACCTTTCTTAAAATTGCTTTGTGATGGGGCTCCTGGGTGGCTCAGTCATTAAGCGTCTGCCTTCAGTTCGGGTCATGATCCCGGGGTCCTGGGATCGAGCCCCGCATCGGGCTCCCTGCTCAGCAGGAAGCCTGCTTCTCCCTCTCCCACTCCCCCTGCTTGCGTTCCCTCTCTTGCTGTGTCTCTCTCTCTGTCAAATAAATAAAGAAAATCTTTGGGCGCCTGGGTGGCTCAGATGGTTAAGCGTCTGCCTTCGGCTCAGGTCATGATCCCAGGGTCCTGGGATCGAGTCCCACATCGGGCTCCCTGCTCCTTGGGAGCCTGCTTCTCCCTCTGCCTCTCTCTCTCTCTCTGTCTCTCATGAATAAATAAATAAAAATCTTAAAAAAAAAAAAGAAAATCTTTTAAAAAAAAATTGCTTTGTGATGTATTTAGTTAACTTAATGACATATTGTAGGGCTCATTCTGTATCCGAACACGTAGATCCACGTCATTTTTTAACCCATTCTGTGTTGTATCCAATGATGTGGATATACCATAGATGATTTAACTGGCTTTCTTTTGGCAGACTTTTACATTGTAAACTGGTTTTTACTATTTTACCTAGTGCTGTAGTGAGTACCCACTCATGTTTATTATATTCGTGCACTTCTTGTGGTTTGTATTTGAGAGGAGTTCCTAGCAGTGTGATTGCTGAGTCAAAGGGTATATACATTGCATAACTTTTTTTTAAGAAATCCTTTTAACTTTTAAAACATTTTTAAAGTTCAGTAGAGTCTTAGTATAAAAAAAATTCATTTATAATTCTCCTAGATACTGCCTCACAGTATCTCATAGATACTACCCTTCACAGTTTAAGAGAACGTTGCAGATGGTCTTTTCTCCCTAGCGTAATAGTTTATGACCAGAAAGTAAATTAAACATTTCTAGAATGTTATTGCAGGAAGAGGCTTAAAATCCTCTTGTCTGACTCCTATGTTTTTCTTACTGAGATATGATTCATACTTAACATAAAATTTATGATTTTTAAAAGGGTATAATTCAATGATTTTTAGTATGTCTGCTGTGATGCACAACAATCACCTTAGTTAATTCCAGCACATTTCCATCATCCCTAAAAGAAACCCTGTACCTATTATCATCAGTCCCAATTCCTCCCTCCCTCATTCCCAGGCAATCACTTTCTGTCTCTATGGATTTGCCTATTTTGGACATTTCATGTACATGATATCATACAACATGTAGCCTTTTGTGACTTGCTTCTTTTAGTTAATATAATACTTTCAAAATCCACTCATGTTGTAGCATGAACAGTACTTCATTCCTTTTTATGGCTGGATGATGTTCCACTGTATAGAAATACTCATTTTGTTTGTCAATTGATAAATGGATAATTTAGGTTGTTCCCCTCTGTGATTATTATAAATAAAGCTGCTGTGTATATTCATGTACCAGTTTTTGTGTGAATATGTATTTCAGTTCTCTTGGCTAAGAGTGGAATTGCTGGGTCATATGGTAATGCTATTTTTAACTTTTTTTGAGGAACTACCAAACTGTTTTCCAAAACAGCTGTACCATTTTATATTCCTACCAGCAATGCATGAGCATTCTAGTTGCTCCACATTCATACCAATGCCTTTCTTTCTTTCTTTCTTTCTTTCTTTCTTTCTTTCTTTCTTTCTTTCTTTCTTTCTTTCTATCTATCTCTCTTTCTTTCTTTCATCTTAGTGGGTGTGAAGTGGTATCTCATTGTGATTTTGATTTGTATTTACCTAATGACTAAGGATAGTGAGCATTTTTTCATTTGCTTACTAGCCATTTGTACTATCTTCTTTGGAGGAGTATTTATTCAGGCCCTTTGTCCATTTGGTAATTGGGCTGTTGTCTTTTTATTGTTGAGCTCTAGGAGTTCTTTATATATCCTAGCTATTAGATCTGTAATACGTAGATATTTTGCAAGTATTTTCTCCCATTCTATGGGTCGTCAATTCTTTTTTTTTTTTTTAAAGATTTTATTTATTTATTTGACAGAGACACAGCAAGAGAGGGAACACAAGCAGGGGGAGTGGGAGAGGGAGAAGCAGGCTTTCCCGCCCAGCAGGGAGCCAAATGCGGGGCTCGACCCCAGGACCCCGGGATCATGACCTGAGCCGAAGGCAGCCGCTTAATTGACTGAGCCTTGCAGGCGTCCCCTCAGTTCTTAGTCTCTGCAGCCTTTCCTTCCTTGGCACCCACCAGACAGTCAAAGCTATTTGGGAGGATGTTGCTGACTGTGTATAATAATTGTCTATTTTGATGTGGCCTGAAGATGAGAGAAGGATGCCTCTGAAGAGTGTTCTTCAACCTTTGCCTCAGTGCTGGCACAGACACCATGTTGGGGCTGACCTCTGGCAGAGGGCAGCATTGTGACCCCCACCAGCTCTCAACCCCACTGTCGTTGCTTTCACTTTTTTACTGCATACTCAAACCTTTCTCTGCTGTGACCCCATAGCAGTTTACTTTTTTCTTCTCCTTCCTTTGCTCTATTCAGGGACTTAATCTTCAGGTCTAGAAGATTGTTCACTTTAAGAATTATTTTAGGAGGTGTGCCTGGGTGGCTCAGTCGGTTAAGCATCTGCCTTCAGCTCAGGTCATGATCACAGGGTCCTGGGTTTGAGCCCTGAGTGGGACTCCCTGCTTAGCGGGGGGTCTGCTTCTCTCTCTCCCTTGCCCCTCCCTACCGCTCATGTGCTCTCTCGCTCGCTCGCTCTCAAAAAGAAAAAAATTATTTTAGGGCATAAGAATGCCAGTGAAGTTCTTTTTTTTTTCTTTTTTTCTTTTATTATGTTATGTTAATCACCATACATTACATCATTAGTTTTTGATGTAGTGTTCCATGATTCATTGTTTGCGGCCAGTGAAGTTCTTAATGGTATATGTTTATTTCTGTTCCTAAGCCCCCTCCTAAGCCATGTAAGTGAAAAAAAAACTGAGATCAACTTGTCTCACAGAGGTAGAAATGTCTGTTTTTCTTATTCCACCCACAGATCATCAGAGTGGAGTTTTCTGGCTTTTCAGGATGAACAGGGACAGGAGGTCCTAAAAGGGAACTCCTCAGCTTTTCTCCCCACAATCAGCATTATCTTTTTTTTCTTTCCAGGTTGTGTCAACACTGCTCATAAACATAATCCCAGAGGACCACATCCCACTGAGCTTGTTGGGAAAGGCGAAGATCAACGGCAAAGCCTGGGTGCAGGAGTCCCCTCGGCCTGTTCCTGGCTTTAACCCTGACTCCATGTGCGAGTCCCAGGTATGGCTGCCTAGCTGTGCGGAGACATCTAGTCCCAGGTTTAGACAAATCGATTTAAAACAGACGCAGAGAAAGGAAGAATCAGGTGTCATGGTTCAAAATAGAGGGTGTCATGCTCAAGGTGGTGTCCCTTTAGTTTTAGAAAGGGTCAGAGTTGATCGCTTAGCATTTGACCCTCCATATAAACCTCACAACCCACTTGGGAAGCAGGAGGCCTCTGGACTCAATTCTGCAAAACTTGGAAATTCGGAACCTGTGTTTTCCCTTGAGACCCCTGAGTGGCTCAAGCTCACAGATCTGCTGTGAGGTTCCACACCTTCCGGCTCCATGCCTCAGGAACCAGGCCTCGGGGCAGAGCACTCCTGCAAGCGAGCAAGATGGGGGCCCCACACTAAGACTTCCAAGGCCTTGAGTCCCCAACTCATAAGTGCTTTGTCACAGGTCTGGCAGACATTCCATTTAGAACTGAAGCTGCCACTTGTCTTTCCCTTTAGAGATCATATGCTTAATGTATGCTACATTATGTGGCTAGCAATCCTTCCTTTAATTAGCTTCTGATGCTTTAACCCAACTTTGGAAAGTACACATGCCTTAAAAGATGTTAGAAAGGCTGGGGCGCCTGGCTGGCTCAGATGGCTAAGTGTCTGCCTTCGGCTCAGGTCATGATCTCCAGGTCCTGGGATCAAGCCCCACATCGGGCTCCCTGCTCAGCGGGGAGTCTGCTTCTCCCTCTTCCTCTGCCTCTCCCCACTGCTCGGGCTCTCTCTCTCACTCTGTATCTCTGTCTTAAATGAATAAATTAAAAAAAAAAAATTCTTTAAAAGATGTTAGAAAGGTTATGTTGTTCTTACTTCTAGAGTCCAAGGGAGGGAGCACCTAGGCCAACGTCGTGGTTATGGAGTTTATCCTCTAGATGCTCTCATTTCTAGTCACAAGGTCCTTGAAAAGGGTAGTTGACCTCAAGTCAGTATGGGTGGGGTTGTGGTGCAGGGGGACATGTAAACAGCGAAATGTTTGTGCATGTGTGTGGGGGGGTATAGTCCCTAGAAAAAAATAATTTAAAAATATTGGTCTATGTCCTCATTTCCTTTATTTAGATAAAAATGTATTCCATTTATACCCTACATCTTTCTTTTTTATTTCAAGTGTTTATAATTCTATTCAGTATAGCGTAATATTAGTTTCAGGAGTAGAATTTAGTGATTCGTCACTCCCTGCATCTTTCTTTCCATCCAGGACTTGAAGCAGGTTACCGTGGAGGGACATACACAATAAGGTTAATAAAACACAGAGAGGGGCGCCTGGGTGGCTCAGTTGGTTAAGCGACTGCCTTCGGCTCAGGTCATGGTCCTGGAGTCCCGGGATCGAGTCCCGCATCGGGCTCCCTGCTTGGCAGGGAGTCTGCTTCTCCCTCTGACCCTCCTCCCTCTCATGCTCTCTGTCTCTTATTCTCTCTGTCTCAAATAAATAAATAAAATCTTTAAAAAAAAAAAACATAAATAAAACACAGAGAAAGGAGGGGGTGGCTCACACAGGAGGTGTCACCTCCATTCCAGCATTGGTGGCTGTCTCCTCCACAGGTGATCATCAGAGAAGGGGAGCTGCTCTGTGGGGTGCTGGACAAGGCGCACTACGGGAGCTCCGCCTATGGCCTGGTCCACTGCTGCTATGAGATCTATGGCGGGGAGACCAGCGGCAAGGTTCTCACCTGCCTGGCCCGCCTCTTCACCGCCTACCTTCAGCTCTACAGAGGTTTCACCTTGGGTGAGTACTAGACAAGTGGTCCCGGGGCCCCCCTCTCTCCTGGCCAGCACGCCCATTGGGATGTCTCCCTGACTCTACTAGCAGCTTCTGGGGGGATGGACAGGCTCCTTCTATACCTATGTCCTCTCTTGGCTGCCAACAACACGTCACAGACCTGGTCCTTCTCTGTGCTTGCCACCCCTCCCCCCCAGCCAGCATTTTGTCACGCTCCTCAGTCCCCATTCCATTCTCCACCCTAGCCTCTGTGGTTTTCTGTCCCTGAGACTGATTTTTCAACCTCGAACCCACCTCCCTTCTCTCCTATATAAGTGTGCTTCCAGAATGCCCTGGGCACTCTGCCCTCCACAAGTAGGCCTTCCCTAATGTCAGAACTGCCCACACCTCCCCATACAGCAGGGGCATCAGCATGTTGGGGCAGACCTTCGGGGTGATCCTAACAGAGGAAGAGGAAATGCCTTTTTTCCTCCCTGGAAATGAGCACACACCATTCTAGCAAGTTGGCCTTGAGAAAGACGGCAAGTGTGCTGGTACTTTCTAAGCCCTTCTGCAGTGTTCCTGTGAGGAGCAAGTGACCTGCTGCATGTTGAGCATGAGCCACAGCGAGTGTTGGAATTGTCTAGTTCTTAGTACTCCTAGGACCCTGCTTTGCAGGCTTTCTCGTGTGCAGACACGGTGGCCATCCCACCGTGGGGTCCCCGGGCCTGCTTCAGCTGGGGCTTGTTCACCTGCCTGCAGTGGGGCCTGTGTAGTTACAGGATATATGTGAATTGTGGAAAAGTAAAAATAAGCACAGACACGATAGTAGTTGAAAGTCACCCAGCATTCAGTCATCAGAGATGACCATTAATATTGATTTGATGTGTGTCTTTCTAGACCCGCCAATATAAACACATACGGAAAAAAGTGAGATCCTACCCTACATGGTTTGGTAATCTTTTCCTCCCCATTACGGAATGTATTTACAAATGTTCTTTTGTAAATGTCCTAAGAGAAGCCTACATCCTCAGGTCTGGGGCTACAGATTATTCTAGTTGTGTCCTGGTACCACAGTTTATTTAACCAGCTCCTATAATTAAGCATTTAGGCTATTTCCTGGTTTTCACTTTATTGTGAAGAGGGCCCTTGAACAGTTTATGAAAAGTAGAGGAAGATGCCACACCCAGATCATGATGAGGACCACAGCCAACAAACCAAGCCATGCCTGCAGCTCTGCTTAGCCCATGGTACAAAGAGAAATCAACCCCCGAGGGCAAAGGCCTTCCAGAGACCACAAGACTGAGAAAGGGAGCAGGGCCAAGCTGGACACAGCTCTGGGGAAAGGGCGGGCTAGAGAAGTCGCCTTTGCTCCAGCCTTTACAGCCAGGGGTCAGTGAAAGGACAGCAAGGAGGCCTAGAGCCGACCCCATGGAAGCACCCGCTTTTGTGATGACGGCTTCCTCGCAGAGGGACTGTCTCTTTCCCCTCCTGCTCGTACATGTTCTTTAGGGCCCCTCAAGCCTCCAGGATGTGGCATTGGGAATTCCAGATATTTTAGCTCAGCTTCTAAATAGTGCAGCTATTGATTTTTCTTCCCATGCAGATCTTGGCTGAGGGACTTCTAGAGTCCAGTAGCACTCACACATATGGACAAGAAATAGTTAATGTCACCCAGACTCAGGTGTGTGCCTGCGCACCCATACTCACAGCTAGAGAGCGGGGGCCCTGTGACGTGTGCCTTCTGGGAATCAAAACCAGGCTGTTCTTTCCCTCCCTCTCTTCCTTCCCCGTTTTTCATCAGGAACCTCGTCTTCACCCCTAGCCCATTCATCCAGTGTGTGTTCATAGAGCTGCTGGCTAAGAGCATAGGTTTGTGACTTGGCCCTGGATTTACTTGCTACCCATGTAACGTATGGCAGGTAGATCAAGATTGAGCCTTCATTTGACCATGTGTAAAATGGGGATTAGGATGCTCGGCCTGTGAGAAGCACTTCAGAGATGGTGGCAGTCTCTTACTAGTGAGGTTACAGGGACAGGTCAGGCCCGGTCCCACCCACGCTTGTCTGTCTCACTTCACAGGGGTGGAAGACATTCTGGTTAAGCCGAAGGCAGATGTGAAGAGACACAGGGTCATCGAAGAGTCCACCCACTGCGGGCCGCGGGTGAGGAGGGCCTGGGAGGCTACAGCCTGCGGCAGAGGGTCGGGTCTCCCACGGGACAAAACCCACACCCTCCTCCCATGGCTCCTGCCTCTGACGTGTGCCTTTTCTCATCCTAGGCTGTCAGGGCTGCATTAAACCTGCCAGAAGCCGCTTCATGTGATGAGGTCCGAGGCAAATGGCAGGATGCCCATCTGGGCAAAGACCAGAGGGATTTTAACATGATTGATCTGAAGTTCAAGGAGGAAGTGAACCATTACAGCAATGAGATTAACAAGGTTAGTCCAGCAGTGTGTGCACTTATCACCACCATTTTGAATGCTGGTTTTTTAAAAAATTACATTTTGCTTCTCACTTGGGGCCCTGTGGAGCGCTTTGGCTGTTCGACAGCTAACTAGGTGAGATGTGAGGTGGGATGTGTCGAATTCATCCTTTTGAAGAGCCAAGGGCTTCGTTCTCTTGCCCAGTTAATGCTGAGAGGGAATGCCTTGCACTTCTTTTTCTTTTTAAATGTTTGTATTTGGGGGTGACTGCATCAAAGGGGAGTGAAGAATTCCTCTGGGGCCGCTGTTGAGTGAAGGAGCAAAGTGAAGGACCAAAAACACCACAGCTGCATGCTGTAGAGCGGAGCCAGGGGTGAAGGTGTGGGTTCAAATCCTGGCTCGACCATGTACTTGCTGTGTGACTTTGGGCAAGTGTTATAATCAGTCTGTGCTTTGGTTTACTCTCCTGGAGGTAGGGATATGAGGAGCACCTACCTCACAGGGTTGCTGAGAGGTTAAGGAGCTATTCTACACCGTACTCTTGGCATGGTGGGAGCACTCTGGAAGTTCTCCAGAGTCCCTGTCTACTTTTCCACTAAGCCGGTTCTTGTGCAACTGTGAAAGGAGAGGGAAGTCCCTGGACAGGCCAAGACCACAGCCTGGGCTCTGCACCTTCTTGCCCTAGAGCTGGGGGAGAGGAGAGGGGGAGGCAAGGCCAGTGCTCAACAAGAGTCAGCGTTGGCCTGGTGTCCTCTTCACTGGCTCTCAGCTTCCCTTAGACTGCCAAGACCGCAGACCTCTCGTTGTCCTTGAGAGATTTTCTTCAGAGGAGCCTTTCCAGAACCTCTCAGAGAACTGGGAGGCTCAGCTTCCAGGCTTGACTGAGAACGCTGGGACGTTGTCTGAGAAGCATCTCAGGATTGCTTCTTGTCCCTCCGGCTCCTCTCTTCCCCCCCCACACCCCCCCCCACACCTCTCCTGTGTTGGTCTGGGTCTCTGCATCCCTAGGCAGGGGCTTAAATAGACTGGGAGCCAGGGTCTCCGCAGGCTCCACCTAGAGGGCTTTGCTCACGTCTGCTGGCCTTGGAGCCAAGGCCAGGCTCCCACGTGGTGCTTGGGCAGCACGTTGGTAAATGTGAGTGTGACACGGACACTGGTCCTCACTGCCAGGGGTACAGGAACCGAGGCCATGTCCGCTGGGCAGATTCATAGGGGTACACCTCAGATTTTCTTTTTAACCTGCTCCTTTCTGGGATCACAAACTGGATATGCTGGCCCCTCTGGTTCTCCCTTTTTGTTCCCATTTGCCAGTGACAAGAGCCTCAGGCTTCTTGGCAGAGGCTGTCAGAAGAGTGCAGCTTGTGGGGACTTCTCTCTAGGGGTTCTAGCAAAAGGATCGTTGCCAAATGACACTTCTTACCTCGAGTGGGATTTGGCACTTATCTCTGGATAAATAGTCTGAGTTTATTGCTTCTGCATCCTGGGTTTATCTTGTGATTTGGGATTACCTTGGGATTTCAAAAGGGAGTGAAGTCACTGACTTGCTGTGTTTATTTAATCTGCAGGCATGCATGCCATTTGGCCTGCACAGACCGTTCCCGGAAAACAACTTGCAGATGATGGTGCAGTCTGGAGCCAAAGGTTCAACTGTGAACACCATGCAGGTGGGAGCAAAGGCGGGCTGGCTGGTTTGCCAGAAGGGTGGGGTGATGGCAGGAGGCAATTTTCAGATTTCTTTCTGGGGCGCCTGGGTGGCTCAGTCGTTAAGCGTCTGCCTTCGGCTCAGGTCATGATCCCAGGGTCCTGGGATCGAGTCCTACATCGGGCTCCCTGCTCTGCAGGAAGCCTGCTTCTCCCTCTCCCGCTCCCCCTGCTTGTGTTCCTGCTCTTGCTATGTCTCTCTCTGTCAAAAAAATAAAAAAAAAACAAAACAGATTTCTTTCTGATTTTGAAAGGATCCACATTCCATATAAACTGTGGCAAGTACTACAAAATATAAAAGCATATAGAAATCGGTACAGTAGGTAACCACTGTTAACACATCAATATTAGCAACAAACACAGATATGAGTGTGTGCGTGTGTGTCACCAGTCTTATCTGGGATCCTGTCGTGGTCTGCTTTTTACATTTGTTGTTCTATTATCGGCATCCTCCTAGAGGTTTCTTACCCCTGATTTGAGGCCCATTACGTCCTCAGATGGTTGATGTGCTGTGGCAGCGTGTTCACAGATGTTAATATTTCTTCTGAAAGTCCTGAGGACCGTGGTGAGTGTAGAGCAATACAGGAATGGGCTTAAAAGGCTGAACACCACAATCAGGAAGCCCCCTTGACTGAAGTGAAATCCAGACACATGGCTGTCCCCTCACCCCCATGAATATTAGGTGCTTTTTTTCTCTTTTGGCCTTAGAATTTAAGGATCACAATAAATTCCTTTTTCTTGCAGGCCTCAGTTTCTCCATTAGGGCCCTTCGGTCCCTTCCAAGTAGAACGTGATGATTCTGAAACACGGCTTCTTTTACCAACATAGCCCATTTACAACTGACCCCAGACATGTCAGATCTTGATCAGTCAACAAAAGGAAAACACAGTTCTTTTCTTGAATCATGAGCTCCTCTGGTTCATTTGAAAATGTAGGTCGGCCTTCCAAAAACCAGTTTTCACGCAGCTTTTCTTCTAGAGCAGGACTTCCCTCCTCTGCCGGGACAGAGCTTTAACACACGTGTGGATCTTGAGTTTGCTTTGGGCTTCCTTTCTTCCAGATCTCATGCCTGCTGGGCCAAATCGAATTGGAAGGTCGGAGACCCCCCTTGATGGCATCTGGCAAGTCATTGCCCTGCTTTGAGCCTTATGAGTTCACCCCCAGGGCCGGCGGTTTCGTCACTGGCAGATTCCTCACTGGCATCAAGCCTCCTGTATGTATTTTGGGTTTTCTTCGTGTCTCTTCTCATTGCCAGGCTCAATGGTAGGAGGCCCATGACCTTTACCAACAACTTTGAGCAAGGACTATTGAGTAATAAATGTCAAGTCATTTGTTGCTTACTCACAAGACCCTATGACCCCCGAGGACCCTGTTGTGTTCACCATTGTAATGCCCAAGCTTTTACAAGGCCTGGCATGTAGTGCTCAGTGTTTGCTGAGAAATGAAAAGATGAATAAGACCAATCCCAGCTCCACCTTTTCTTGCCCTGTCCCTCTCGAAACCATTTCTCAGCTACTTCGAAGGCAGCTAGAGAAGGGGATGCCCTTCACCAGGGTGCTCTCCGTTGCCAAAAGGAACGTCACAGAGATTGGTTTCACGAACCCCCACCAAGAGCACCTCCCATGGCTCCTCCTTCCCAGTGGGGAAATCGAGAAGCTGTGCAAATGTCTAGTTCTTCCTTGGTCAACAGCAGACTTCTCCCCTAAGAAAAAGATTTTCTCCTCATATTTGTCAGAAATGGCTTTTTGGATGTTAGTACCTTCTGTTCCTTGGTTAGCGCATCTCTCTGCAAGATCACACAACTAAGACCGGGTTGTGAACAGGACCGGCCCTTGGTTTCAAGGCCACCGACTGCTTCGAGGGCACCTCATCAGTCCCACACGGGCTCTCCAGTGATCACCCATGGCCTCTGGCAAAGGACGGAGGAGAGAGGATCTAGACCAGAACTTTTTGAACTCTGGTTGTGGCCCCTAGTGAATCATAAGAGCACTGTAATAGATAGTGACTGGCATTTCTTTGATGTTTTATTACCAAGTAAGGGATGGAATAGTTTCATAAAGTTCTCGTTTGAGTTTTCTGTCTATGTGCACGTGTGCATATACATTTGCTGAGGACTACTGCAAGTGTATTCTTTACGGTGGGTGAGTGAAAACGTTTGGAAAGCACTGTGCCCCCGGTGACGCTGTGGGGGGCAGAATTCAGGGATATGGGCTGAATGGAAGAGTGATGAGGCCCTGGTGCCGTTTCCATTTGGAAAGTGGGGTGTGGGAAATGGGGTGGAATGCCCGAGTGCCGGGAGAGCCCCCGGCTCCTGTACACGGGCTCCGCTTGCCCCTGTGCTCTCGGGCAAGGGAGGACAGGCAGCCACGGGGGAGGGCGAAGTCTCCGGGCCAATGGGCCCCGTCAGAGCCGGGGGCCGCAGGAGCTCAGACACGGCTGCTTCCGGAAGCGCCCCATCCTCACTGGCGCCTCTGGGGCCTGGCCCCACCTCTCCCACAGGAGTTCTTCTTTCACTGCATGGCCGGGCGAGAGGGTCTAGTGGACACTGCTGTGAAAACCAGCCGCTCCGGCTATCTCCAAAGGTAAAAAGCACCTGCTCTGTCACCCCCGTCATCTTTTACATTGTCATTGACAGTTCACTTACAGTGCCTTTGGATGAAAAAACTTTTTAAAAACTGCCATGGGCGGCCTGAGACAGAAAATAGTGAATATTCTTCCCCTTCTAACCGATTGGTAGAGCGTGAGCTCAGAGGTTTATGCAGAGGGCTCCTGTGTTCTGCAGGTGCATCATTCCCACCCCCCTCGCTTCCCCAGGGGAAGTTATGGATCCGGGGAAAGGCCTTGAGCAGTGAGGAGCTCGTCCTCTGCCCTAGGAGGGCTCAGCATCCGGGACAGTGCAGAGAGGGTTCCAGGCCCAGGGGCCCTACCTGTGAGTGTAATTAGTGTTACTGTCTCTCCAGATGCAGGTGTCACATCGGGGTGTCCCGGCCCACACCTGCTTGTTTTCTATCCTCCCTGGGAGGAAAGGGAATAAGTAGCCACTGTCACTAGCCTGTTGGGGCAGGTGGGGGGGAATTACAATTAAAACGGAACAAGGCCTAACTCTAGAGTGCCCGGCAGGACAGGATGGCAGGTCCCTATGCCCCAGCCTCCCCTCTCTTGGAGTGCAATGTGGGGAAGCTCACCTTGGGGAGTTTGGGCCAGCATTCTTCATGAACCCAGAGAACCTGTGCTGGGAGAAGTGGTGGTAGGAAATGGAGGAGATGGCAACAAGAAATCCCCATGCCTCTCGGGCATGGTGTGAAGTCCCGTTCTCTGGGAACTCGAGTGACTACTGCACAGGGAGGAGAGCTGCTCTATCCTGCCCTCAGAGGTTTCCCTCTCTGCTCCAGCCCTGTCCTCTCTCCTGCTTCTGTGTTCCAGAGTCCCCAGAGCTGCATCCCGTGCTTTGGTCCCCTCCCCCCTGACTCCCAAGGCTGCAGCCCACAGGGTTGGGCTAGGAAAGGGAAGGGTGGGTTTGGGGTGGACGACCCTAGGTGGCTGGTTGGTGGGGAGCCGGTACAGCTCGGTGAGTTCCCCTCTCAGGAGCATGGATCACATGGCCATTTCCTTCCATGAGCAGGGGTTACCACCCCACCTCCCATTTCTTAAACCACTCAACAATACATGTGTAACGTAGAAAAAGCTAAAAAACAAATGACCAAATAAGTCTGGCGTTGGGGGATCCCTTTGTGGGGTGGGAGTCCCTGAGACCAATTAAATGCAGTGCAGGAAGGAGGAGGAGGTATGGGATCCTGCTTGGAAGAGTGGCAGCCACTGGGGCAAAGGGCACAAGCCTCCGCAGGATCCACCTGCCAGTGGGGGGTTGAGGTGGAGAGGTCACATACAGGGCTTCAGGGCAGGTTGGATTGGAGGGGGCCAGCCCGGCTGTGGTGGAGTTCCAGCCAGACGTCGGAAGCCTGCCCCCCCGAAGGTGGTGATGGAAAGGAAGAAGCAGCTGGGGCGAAGACAGAGCCACTGGCTGAAATGCAGGAAGACGAGGCAGGGAGGCGGCAGATAGACCTGGCTGAGCTCACAGGCCTGAGTGGCAGCACAGGGGCACGGTGGACAGAGAGGAGAGAGAAAACGTGGGTGGTGGGAGGTGTCAGTAGCAGGATATTCAAGTAGCCACATGCAGTAGACCTCCTGACAAGGCCTGCTGGTCAGGAGAGGCCTGGACATGCAGCCTTGCAGGGCCATAGCCAATGCTGAGAGCCAAAGCTCCGTGGGCAAGGGGCAGAGCAGAGGGCAGAGCCAGCACTCCGGCATTTTCAGCACCGACTTTGCCAGATCCTGGGCTGGGTGCCAAGAAGACGGTGGTGACTAACACTGAGGTGTGCTAACCTTGGAGCCTGGGGGAGCAGTGGCAACTAGAAAACCTCCTGTTAAGGTGGCAGGAAGAGACTGAGGCAGAATGGCCAGAAGTAGGCTAAGGAGCCAGCACCGGGTAGCAGGGAGAGAGGTTGAGGGAGACAGCTGACCACTGGGAACACTGGAAAAGGGGCACCAGGTTAGGGTTAGCACATCAGCATTTAGTTCCCAGTGTCCCCTTCGTTTCCCTGGCAAATCTCTGGACTAACCACGTGGGGAAGCATTGGGTGGGTGGACGGACAGCCCTCCTGCCTTACCTGCCTTGTGGACCTAAAGATTCTGTCCTTGGGGAGCTGGTTGATGCGGGACGGTGAAAGGCAGGCAGCAGCCCCAGCTGCGGGGGCTGGACACGAGAGCCAGGGCCCAGGAGTGGCGGCGGGGCTCTGTCACACGGCTGCAGCCTCCTCCTCCCAAGGAACCAGGAGGAAGTGCAGCCCCTGTTCCAGAGCTGCTGTAGCTCAGAGCCTGGGGCATGGGAGCCTCGCTCGGCTGCCTGCACAGCAGCGGTCCCCCTTTCCACTGTCCACTGCCCTGGTCTCCGTACAGGTGCATCATCAAGCACTTGGAGGGGCTGGTCGTCCAGTATGACCTGACCGTCCGCGACAGTGATGGCAGCGTGGTACAGTTCCTGTACGGGGAGGACGGCCTGGACGTCCCCAAGACGCAGTTCCTGCAGCCCAAGCAGTTCCCCTTCCTCGCCAGCAACTATGAGGTAGCAGGCCCAGCCCGGCGCCTAGGGCTGGTGGGGCCCCGAGCTGCGCGGTGTGGTGAGAGTGAGTGCTCCACAGCAGGGTGGGGAAGGGTTATAAAGCCCCGTTCGATGCTTTGAAGCACTTGACGTTTTCACACCCACTCTGGGGGCGCTCGTCACATGAGATGGCAGAGAGCACGCGCGCCCCTGGAACACCAGCTACCATCTGGGGTGCTGCGTGCTGGGCCCAAGCTGCAGTGCACTGTGGATACCGCCTGCTTTTATCCTCACCACAGCCTGGGGGAGTAGGTGCTCTCCTGTCCCTCCGACAGCGGAGGCAACGAGGAGCGGAGCGCGCGCGCCTAGCTGGTGTGTGGCAGAGCCTGGGTTCGCACGCAGGCCTCACTGACACACAGGCTGGTGGTTTTCATACCGTACCTTACTGCCTCAGAGATGCCCGTCGCCCCGTTGTGCAGTCCGATACTGAAGCCGTCGTGACCTGCCGTGGCCAGGCAGCGGATGGCGGAGTTGAAGGTTGCACTCCGGCGCTGGCTCCTTCCCATCCTGGTGCCTGTCCCAAAGCTTTGGCCATCACTTCCTCTCCTCCTTTCTCTCTAGAGACTGCCCCCCCAACCCCAGGTTCTGAAGGGGCTCTGAATGTGCTGGTCTCCTGCCTGTTTTCCCTGCAGCTCCTAAAACCACCAGCTCCCAAGTCCAGGATACAGAGCGAGGGTCCTGGTTAGCAGTGGGTGCTCAGCCCTGCTGAGAGGCGTTGTGAGGGCCCCCCACACAGACCATCTTGGTCCTGTGAAGTTGTGTGACGTGGCTCTTGGGCCATGCGCTCCTCTCTTTGATCTTGTGTGTGTGGTTTGTGTGTGTGTTTGTTTAGGTGATAATGAAATCGAAGCATCTGCATGAAGTTTTATCCAGAGCAGATCCCCAAAAAGCTCTCCGTCACTTCAGAGCCATCAAAAAATGGCAAAGCAAGCATTCCAACGGCCTGCTGAGAAAAGGCGCCTTCTTGAATTATTCACAGAGAATTCAGGCAGCTGTGAAAGCCTTGAACCTTGAGGGTGGGAACCAGAATGGCCGCAGCCTTGGGACTCACCAGGTGACTTGGGGGGTGGCTTTGTCCTCAGTGTGTGGAGCATATAGGCCTCAGTCAGGGATTGAGGAAACAGGTTAGTTTCCTAATAGTGGGTGTCCTAGTATAGTCTGGCTTTATTCACTGTTAGGAAACAAATGGAAACAAATTCCTCAAATAAGAATTTGAGGAGAGGACTCTACAAGGGTGTGGGCAGGGTTTGGGGAAACGGGCTGGTAACTTGGGTCCTCCCCACCCCAGGTGGGCAGGAACGGAGAGCACCAGGAGGGGAGAGAGTGGCGTGGGCAGTAGGGAGCCCTGGCCTACTCAGAAGCTTCTTAGAGAGGGAGGGGGATAAATGCCCAGCTTCACTCTCCGCCCATCTTCCCTTCTGCTGCTGGGGCCTCCCATTCGGCAAACCCAGCTGGCAGCCAGGAGGCAGGGTGGGGGGACACTTTGAAGCAGTTGCTGTGGGATAGCTTTGGGGCATCAAGTGTGTGAAAGCCTGGATGAGGGACAGACAGGTCCTGGTTGGCCTAGGAAGGTCCTGGTTTTGCCTTTCACCCTAGCATTGTTAATGATAGTTCCTCATTCTTCTCGAAAAGGATTCCAGTTTGGATGGTAACTTTCCATGGTCACCCTGCCTGTGTTTGAATGGGCCAGGATGAAGAGCTCACAGAGGTCAGGCAGTACGTGCTGGGATGGATTCTGTTGACCCCTGTCCTGAATGTTGAGATGGATTTCTCAGGGCGGTCTGGTTCTGTCTCCTTCCCCTACTTCTATTTGGAGCCAGTGCCTTTGATCCTCCTTGTCCTACTGGATGTCCCAGGAAGACAAGCCCATTCCTGGTTTCCTCCCATATGAGTGAGGCCTGTCCTTCCTTTCAGATCTTGAACATGTGGGGTGAGTTAGATGAGCAGAGTCGAAGGAAATACCAGAAGAAGGCAGCTCCTTGTCCTGACCCCAGTCTGGCTGTTTGGCGCCCAGACATCTACTTTGCATCGGTGTCAGAAACATTTGAAAAAAAGATGGATGACTACAGTCTCGAGTGGGCATCTCAAGCAGAGAAGAGTTACGAGAAATCAGAGCTTTCTCTTGACAGGTAATGACATTGACTTGTTAAGGGCATGTGCAGAGGGAGAATCTGCTTCCTTACCCCCTCCAGAAGGGAGGGCAGCCTCCTGGGTTTGAGTCTTCAGCAGGAGGGAGAGAAGTGAAACAGAAAGGGCACCTTGCAGGCCCAGAGGGCTCCAGGACAGGCAAGAGCAGGGAGGCAGGAGTGGACACCCTGCCTGGCCCAAGACAGAGGAAAATGCTCTGCTGGATGGGAGCTTGCAGAAATGACCTCTCTCGAGCTTGGTGTGGTGGTCATGGCTAATTGAGAGGCAGGGAATCTGCTCACCATTCAGCAGCTTCTAACTCTGACCCAGGGCAAATCATTCATGGCCCTGTGACATCAAGAATGGCTCAGCCTTTCATGAGGGGTTGGATGTGATGGCTCCAGTGTTCCTCTGAGCTTTGGAGGCCAAAGTCTTAAGAAAGACCACATGCAGTACTCAACTTGGACTTGTTCACCAATAAATAAATAAGTATGGAAATGGTGTGGTCTAGGTGGGTGGGAAGCCAGCCATATACCAGCACCGAGTCACATTGGATTAAAACCTCACAAGTGCCCCCAAGGAAGGCCTGCTGTGGGGTTCGTATTGGAGCAGTCCCCTAGTCAGGGGATCCTTTCCACTCAGCTCACTAAGCCTAGCCTGCAGAGCTGGAAGACCTCCAGGGTATGGGTATGGGCCCTGGCCTGGCCGCTCGTCCTACACCTGATGACACTCACAGGGTCCAGGAGGGGGACTGCAGGTGGAAGATGGGAATCAGTCAGGGCAAATGAGTGAAGGCAAACGCATGAGGGGAGGAACTAGAGGGGAGGAAGAGGGCTCTCTCTTTGCCCCTTAACGTGGTTTCTCTAGTCAGGCCTCAGAGAGGCCCAGACAGAATAAATCATTCCGGGTTCTCACAGATGCCAGCAGGGCTTTCCCTGTAAGAGCAAGATCCTGATGCCCCTACCCCCTTCACCTGCCTCCATGCAGCTCAGGGCACTGGCCATTTGCCTTCAGAAGGACCGGGGGTTCTGCATCAGGAGTGGGGAGAGATTAGCCCTGGGGAGCATCACTTGGGTTCACAGAGCCAAGGGGGGAGGCGATTCCGCCTCAGTTGCTCTCACAGGGGACCTGTTAACAAGCAGCAAGCTCAGGGTGAAACTCCAAAGTTCTGGAGGTATTCTTCTGTCAAGTAACCTAACCTGATAAGTACCCAGACCTCACCGGTTTGAAGTAATTGGGAGAGATGACACAGCAGGTTAGAGAAAAGTCTTTTTTTTTTTAAGATTTAGTTAATTTATTTATTTAGAGAGTGAGAGCGCACGTGTGAGTGGGGGAAGAGGCAGAGGGAGAGGAAGAGAGTGTTAAGCAGACTCCCCTCTGAGTGTGGAGCCCAACACAGGGCTCGATCTCACGACCCTGAGATCACTACCTGAGCTGAAATCAAGGGTTCAGTCCTCAACTGACTGAGCCACCCAGGTGCCCCCAAGAAAAGTCTGACTTGTAAAAAGCACTTCTTTAGGGGACATCTGGGTGGCTCAGTTGGTTAAGCCTGTCTTCGGTTCAGGTCATGATCTCAGGGTCCTGGGATCAAGCCCCGTGTCAGGCTCCCTGCTCAGTGGGGAGCCTGTTTCTCCCTCTTCTGCGCTTCCCGCCCCACCCCCCAATTCATGTTCTCTCTCGATTTCTCAAATAAATAAATAAAATCTTTTAAAAAAATAAAGCCACTTGCTTAGAAATGTAGTATTACCACTTTGTCTACATTCATACATGCGTGCATTTAGCCTTCTTGGGTTGAGCCCCTTCCTTGTTGCATGTGCTGGGGTAATGCAGTGTTCCTGTGGCTGTTCTGAAAGAGCCAGCTTTCATAGGAAGAATGGTTAATAAATCACAAAGCTGCTTGCCTGCACGTTTCCCATGTGGCCTGCAGCTGTTTGCACCAATTAAGAAAACAAACAGCCCCCTTTCCTCCCCATATCCCCATAATTGCTTGGTGAACCTCTTCCTAGTTTGTAGAGTGGGAGGTGGGGAAAAAAGAATTAACAGAGGAAAACGTGAATAGCAGGCTCAGAAATCCTCACTGCTCAGGGGGCTCACGGTGACTGCTGCAGAGTGGGCGCGTGACGTCCTCAGGGCAAACATGAATAGTCCGAGCATGGACATCTAGAGCTTCAGTCACCCACCTGGGATCTGTACTGCGTCATTTAGGTCATCCCAGGGTCAGTAGAGGGATTTTAAGGATTAGAAGGATCATTTGCCTAGGAAAAACAAGTCCAGAAAGAGGGAAAGCTAATAGTGCCGTGGACCCTGGTTTTGGGTGGCGTCGCAGCTCCTAACAGACAGGTGGTGTCCGCGCTCCTAACCTGTGCCCTCCCCACTCCGCCACCCCATTTCAGGTTGAGGACCCTGCTGCAGCTGAAGTGGCAGCGCTCGCTGTGTGACCCGGGTGAGGCCGTGGGCCTGCTGGCCGCCCAGAGCATTGGGGAGCCCTCCACGCAGATGACCCTGAACACCTTCCACTTTGCTGGCAGAGGCGAGATGAACGTCACCCTGGGCATCCCGAGGTATGGGGCTGCAGGGGTGCATAGGATGGGGTCTGTCCTAAGCCCACTCCTGGGGAGGAAGTCATTTAATGAGAGAGAGAGAGAGGGTGGAGGGGAGGGAAGTGGGCATCTCGTCAAAAATGGGGATTAGGGTTGGACTTTGTGGAGCCCAGCTGGTTTCTCTGGCTGGATCCATGCCCAGGCCTCTTAGAATCTCTGTATCCCTCTGCCAACTCCTGTATCAGCTACCTGGGATGTTTGCGAAGTTACACTCCTGGGGTCAGGACTCAGGAACGGAGGTTGTTAACAAGCCCCATGCACCTGGTTGCCTAACTCCGGGGGCACCATTCACCTAGACTGTGACCCACAGTGGCCCTTCCGGTAAGCGTGTTCATCTACAGCAGGATCATGGCCACTGGGAAAGAGGAAAGAGTGGGAGACCCACTTGCATTCAATATCTGACCCTGCCACTTTCTAGCAGAGAGATTTGGGTTCCTCAGCTTCCCTACCCTCAGGGTCCTCGATCTGTGGAAGGGAGGAGGCCAGGGCCCACCATGCAGGCAGGCCGTGTCAGCTGACAGAGCTCACGGGCAAGGCCAGGAGCATCATGGTGCCTGTACGTTACCCATCCCCGCATCTCTCATTCCATAAGCTGTTAGTAAGCATCCAGTGTGGGCATGGCACGGGTGATAGGAAACAAGAATAATACTAGCCTGTCCTAAAAACTGACAGGAGTGTCACTTGCTGTCACTCACGGGGCCAGAACTGGGACTTTCCGATCCAGCATATTTCCTTGCAAGATCCCCAGGCTTCTCTAACCCCAGAAGAGCTCTAAAATCTTGTTAAGAAAGGCCTCACACAAGTAGGGAATCTGCGTACCTCTTGTGATTAGATGTGCCCTTGTTCTGTGACAGGTTGAGGGAGATCCTCATGGTGGCGAGTGCCAACATCAAGACGCCCATGATGAGCGTGCCCGTGTTCAACACCAAGAAAGCACTGAAGAGAGTGAAAAGCCTGAAGAAGCAACTCACCAGAGTATGCTTAGGGGAGGTAATTGTTTCTTGGACCTGGCTGTGCCCTGGGTGGTGTTGTTTTCCTGCATCTTCATCTGTGAAGAACAGAATTTGCTGACTGTTCAGACTCCCACAAATGAGGGAGAAGCTTTCTCTGCCAGGTGCCAAGCAGGGAGGAACCAGTAAGCTTTAAGAGTAAGCATCAGTTCTGCAGCATTATCGAGTGCCTTAAAAATGCTTCCTGCGGTAGCTTACCCGCCCTGCTGGAGTCTGCTGCCTGCAGCCTTGGGCCATCTCTGGAGGTGACCTACCGGCTGTGGGCCCCTGTCCCTTGAGGATTGACACTGGCAGAGCTTAGTGGGGTTTCTCTGGGGACTTGGCCTGTGGCCCCTGCTTTTACCCCTTAAACCCTTGGATTTCCCAAAACCCACTTGTCATGCACAGTCCCCTGGGAATCAGGCAAGCTGGGTTCTCTCTGTCCATCTGGTTCAAGGTGTTGGAGAAAATTGATGTCCAGGAGTCGTTCTGTATCGGAGACAAACAGGACAAGTTTCAGGTGTACCAGTTGAGGTTTCAGTTCCTGCCACATGCGTATTACCAGCAGGAGAAGTGCCTGAGACCTGAGGACATCCTGCACTTTGTGGAAACAAGGTGAGGACTCCGGCCACATTTATCGTTCGATTCTGTCGTGGGCCTTGAGTGCTCCAGGCCACAGGCCTCCTGGAGATTAGACACATTTGTCTAAATGCGTCCTTCAAGGGCAGTGTTGGGGAAAGCAGCAGGCCCTGCAGCCCAGTTTGGAAACGTCTTTCCTGATCTGGCTTGTGGGTGTGACTGCATTCACCACACACCACTCCCTGAGACTTTTCTTCTCTCTGGTTGACGAGTCAGTCTTGTCTTCTTGGGTTTGGAGGCTTTCAGATGTGGAAGTATGTGTACTGGAAAGAGGATGGAGCCCTGTCACCGTGGTGTTGCAGTGAGGGTAGACCAGCTCGCAGGGGTGATTTTTGATGTTCCAGGCCGCACCCTGTGGTTCCCAATACATTTATATTCTGTTTAATAACAGGCAGTATGCGGATGGCATGCTGCTTTTAAGCCCCAGGTCTATAGCTGGGGTTCCCAGCAGTTGCTTACAGGTAGGGAGAAAGAAAATCCTTCTTCTCTCAAGTGCAAGTTACTGCTGGGCATCTGAAAAGCACAGACCACCATGCTGAGTACATAGGAGTAGGATGGTGGGTGTGCCGGGGCTGGGGTAAGCCAGGAAGAGCCAGTGAGGCACTTTGGACTCACCCGCTAACCCTCGATCACAACGCGCAGACTCAGATGGCTGCAGGGCTCAGCAGGGGATGGGCCAGTGAAGCAGGCCAGGAGGCCCCCAGCAGGCTGGAGAGTGCAGAACCTGCCTCAGGGGAACAGGAATGTGGGTCAGGGTGGTCAGATCTTCTGATTTAAAAAAAAACCCGAAAGCCTTCCCCCCCCCCCTTTTTTTTTCTGTCTTTGGCTATTTGGTTGCTTGCTTTTGCTTTTATAAATAAGTTTTCTAATTTTTAAATACCAGCAACTGATCCATCCATTTTCAGAAACTTGGTAAGGCCCAAATAGATCCCATCTGTCCGTGGGATTCGATCACAGACCACCAACCACTGCCTGTAATCTAGACCAGCTCTCAGGCCCTCCTGGAGCCTCCCTGAAATGGAGAACCAATGGGGCAGAGTAGAGGCAGAGCCCACTGCATTCAGTCATCCCACCAACCTTCACCGAGTGATGCGCATTCATCGATGAGTCTCGGATGCAGCATGGCCAGGAGAGAGCAACTGCTCTGCCATTGGCCCTCTTCTTCCCTCTCACCTAAAGATGTGAGCTGGTTTCAGGCCAGCCCTCCAAACATGTGGCGTTCAGGATTGTGGGTATTATGGCAGGTGAGCTTGGATGGGAACCCATCCCCTTGGAAGGGGCCCACTGCCAGGCAGATCCTGTCCCAGTTTACGTGAGCCTGGGTGAAGTTGTTGCTGGCTAGGCCTCGGGGAACACGTGCACTGCTGTCGGCCCAGAGGGAGAAGGTTCCTTTTACCAGGCAGACCCAGCGCTCTCGTGATGCTGGGCCATGTCACAGGAGACAGCGTCTCCAGCCTGCCGGCTCATTAATTAACTTGGAGGAACATAACTCCCAGGAGAACCGCATGTTTGTGCTGGCCAGGCAGCCCTTTTCTGAGAAATGGGAATTAGGATCATATGGCCTCTTGAGAATTATCAAGAGCAGGCGGAGGTGGATGGTCTGCCCCGTTTCTGTTCACCTAGGACTTCCGCCTGCCACGCCAGTAGGGCAGCGTGCAGCAGGTACCAGGCTGTGCTTAGAATTCTTTTTCTTTCTTTCTTTTTCTTTCTTTCTTTCTTTTTCTTTCTTTCTTTGTTTCTTTGTTTCTTTCTTCTTTTCTTTCTTTCTAGATTTTATTTATTTATTTGACATAGAGAGACATAGCAAGAGAGGGAACACAAGCAGGGGGAGTGGGGGAGGGAGAAGCAGGCTTCCTGCTGAGCAGGGAGCCCGATGCAGGGCTCGATCCCAGGACCCTGAGATCATGACCTGAGCGGAAGGCAGCCGCTTAATGAATGAGCCACCCGGGCACCCCTAGAATTCTTTCTATTTATATTATCTCAGGAAATAGAAAAATCCATCACTTTGAAAAGTTTTTTTTCTTAATGAGGGACAGCCCTGGCTTCTTCCCAGAAGTGAAGTACTTTTTCAGCTCCTGGTTTGTATTTGCTGGTGCACTTGAAAAGCTGTGATAAACAAAGCCATGTGCAGTAGCTCTTAGCTACTCTGCGACTAGCGGATTGGGCCAAAGGCGAGAGAAGGGGCAGTGTGTGAACCGGGGTGTGGTTTGGACTGTCCTTGACAGGCCTGGGCGGCAGAATGGCCACGTTAAGGCCTCTTAACAGACCACAAGGAAATGTCACTGTGTTCCCAAGAGTGACAACCCCCCTCCTTCCTTCCTCCCTTCCCTCCCCGCACCTCCTCCACTTCCTTTTCTCTACCTCCCTTCCCTCCCCCACTTCCCTTTTCTTCTCCCAGCTATAGATCATGAGACTATTTTGACAATAGATTGGAGAAGGGAAAAAAGGAAACACAGAGGCACATCTCTATATGGAGATGTATAGCCTTGAAGGTTCTCTAAGTATTTGTACCGACATCTGTCACTTTGGATGTTAGTGTCTATCATCTGGAAGGTGGGCCAGGGGCGGTGAAGTAGAAAGAGCCCCGAGCTAGGAGTCGGGTGGAAAGTTCTGGCCTCCTGTCCCCAGCCATGAAACGACCAAGCTGCCAGTGTGCGGTTACGGCGTCTGTGACTCCGACTTTGCAAGCAGCAGGTGCTGGAGCTGTTGCCAGGCACTCTCGGAAACAGCCAGGGGTCATATTCTCTGTTGGCAATTATTTATGTAGGAAGAGTGGTTTCCCTGCAGCCTGTCCCTCTTGTTCCCTTCGGTTGCCACGGTCTGACAAGCAGCAACACCTGCACAGAGCAGCCATCGTGGGCCTTCAGCTCCCTTGCTCTTGGCAGAATCACGGAAGGGCAAACTGTGTGCGCCCGCAGGAGGATTCTGGCACACTGGTAACGTGTCTGCCACTTACTGGTCAGGGTTCATTCTGCTTCCTCACCTTCTCTCGTGTTCTCCAGCAGTTTCGTTCACTGAAAGAGGCAGGCCGGGCAGAAGGGAGCCCCAGCGAGGGGGGGATTGGGGAAGGTCTCCTTGGGCCCTTCCATCTGCACTTAGATCCAGACTTGGGGGTTGGGTGCAGCTCCAACAGGTAGAGAAAGGGCTGGGGAAATTGCTGGCAGAGGATGCACCAGGGCTGGGGGGAGCAGACGGGCATTTGCGGTGGGGGGGTGGCCAGTTGTGGAGTGCTGGTTGGGGGGAGCCTTCGAGGGGGGTGACACAGCCAGCCACAAAGCTACGGGCCTAGAGATTCTGAGGAGTCAGAGCAGCAGCCCCCAAGCAGTGGGAGGAGGCGAACAGCTCCTGTTGAGGGGAGGGAGGCAGCAGGCCTGGGGCTGCCACACCCCCGTCTGTCCCGTTTCCTCTCCTCACTATGCAGTAGGTTCGGGTCGGGGTGGGAATGGCCCACTGTACAGAAGAGATGAAGGCCTTCCTCCCCAGTCTCTGGCTGAATGCAGACTTGAACCAGAGCCTGGCCTTCCAGAAACCTCTCTTTCGCCCCCTCTTCTCAAGTCAAGCCTGGCCTTCCCTCATCTGGCCCTTGTCCCCATCCCCAGCACTCGGTGACCAGGCTCTTCCCTGGATTGGTGGGTGAGGAGACTTTTCTGCCAAAGGCAGAAACCTCAGCAAAACCGTGCACAACTTTTAAAAAGTTAAAGTATATATACGTAACGAGGAGGGAGAACAGTTGTCTTTTGCTATTAATAAGCCAAACAGTAAATATTTGACCTGCCTACTTAAATTTAAGACAGCACTCCTATACTTTCTGTATTTTCATCCTTGCTTTGCTCCCAGGGCACATGATACACACATTATAGGCACTGAGACAGTACAGGATGGCTGGCTGGCTAAGGGACCTGATACTTAATATAATTAAAAGCAATCCATTTTGGCATGCTGTTCTGGCCTGAAGAAGAAGACAGGCAAGAGATTATGTGAAAAAAAGAAGTAGGGGGCGGGGGGCGGGGTGAGGCCTTAAGGGAGCTTAAAAATAGAAAAGTCAGAAGGAAGAGGTGAGGGGCCAGGAAAGGCCCCCTAGGCTCTGCAGTAAGTTGGTTCTTTTAAATTGGTTTGGTTCCAACCCGTCAACATGATTTACGGCCACAAAGTCATCATTGCCTTCAAAACTCTGATGAACTCTTGCACGTCTTAGGTCTTCCATCAAATTGTCAGGGCTCCCACCCCAAGGAGACCGGAGATGTCAGGCCCAAGCTGTGCCATTTTCTGGAGATGCTGCGGGGACAGGCCGGGAACAGTCCTAGGCCTGGCCTGGACCCCCCTCTCCTGCCGTAGAGTCCGCTGTCCCCATCAGACACCGGCCACAGTCGCGCTAGCACCTTCCGCTTACAGACTGCCCACTCCACCAGGCCTTATGACCGTTCTCGGACAGGGGGTCATGTCTAAGCCTTCAGACAAGACCTCACGGCACATACTCGTACACACATTTTACAGATGAGGGACTTCACGCTCAGGTGACTGTCATGCTGAAAGGTACACGCTTGAGGAGTGGCAGGACATGTGTTCCGACCAGGCCTGCTGGGCTGTGGAGCAGTGCTCTCTCCAACGTGCTCTCTGTCCTTCAGCAACAGCGGTCGGGGGGTGGCACAAGTGAGCCGAGAGCAGATGCTGGATCTCTGTCTCGTGTAAATCCCTGACACGGCCTTAGGTGGCTGCGAGACCCTCGGACAGAACTTCCTACCCCCCGCAAGGGCGGCGGAGGGGGGGACTGAATGGGCCCGTGCGGCTTTCTTCTCGTTTTAGGTTCTTTAAGATTCTGATGGAATCCCTCAGAAAGAAGAATAATAAAGCCTCAGCTTTCAGAAGCGTTAACACTCGGAGAGCTACCCAGCGGGATCTAGACAACTCTGGCGAGTCAGAGAGGAATCGGGTGAGTGAGTCCCCTAGGGCCCCCTCTGGGATCAGCACAGGGGAGGGTCCCGGGGCTGGAAGCCCGTAGGGTAGCTGCTGCCTTAGTCTTCTCTCCTGGGAAGGCTCTGGGATTGTTCTCAGCACTCCTCAAGCCCCTTCCTGGTTTTGGCCATTCTTTCCATGTACCTTATCATTTATCTGCCATGCTGGTGGGGGCTGGTCTGATTGGCCTTAGGGGAGGGCCCAGGGTCATCCATCTGTGTGTTCTCAAGGACCGCTCCTTAAGTGATTTTTACCCTGAGGATAGGCTTAAAGTATTGGTACCCACTGGGCTTTCGAATTCTTTTCCTTTGCTCTGCCTTTGACTTCCCTGGATCAGGTATACTGGTAGGGAGTACTGGCAGGGAAGTCGGGCTGCAGGAATAAAAAAGGAAGGAGCCAGGAAAAAGCTTGGAGGCAAAACAGTCCGGGAATGATGATACCTCATCTGCCAGGAGACCCGGGGCGGTGTGGGGCAGGTCCCTCAGCATCATCTGAGCCAGCAGCAGCTTCAGCACATGGCAATAGCTGTGACTTGGGCGGGGGGGGGGGGGGTGCTCAGTACTGCCCCCACCTTACTCTGTGATCTCAGCTATGTCTGTTCCTGTCTCTGGGCCTTGCTCCTTATCCCGACAGTGAGGGCCTGGCCGAGACCAAAGAGAATGCTCGGTCTCCAGCCCGGGAGGTCTCCCAGTTGGCTAACTCGAGCACAAATGGTCATGGACGGTCTTTGGAAGGCTGCTCAGTCCATCCTTAAGGCACCCAGAAGACTATAAAAAATTAGGAGCCAAGATCAGAAGGTGTAAATGTCTGGTTTTTAAAATACTCAATAGTCCACCCAGCCAATCCTGTCTTCATCTCCACCTGCAAAAAAAAATATTTGGAACAATATTTCATACCACTTTCTTTTAATGACTTAGCCTTGTCACTTTTTTGACATTTCTTTTAAAATGCAGGATTTTGCAAGTGAGACATGTGAAAACGAAGCTTGAAGAGAAGGAGGCAGGGAGTGCAGGGCTGGCCCAGAGCAGGAACTGGGTAGATGGGTGGCATGTGGAGGTAAAACGAATGGATGGCTAGATGGGCAGGCAGGTGGGTGGCTGGGTGGATGAAGTGAGCAGACAAGAGGAATGGGTGGGTAGATAGATGGATTCAGCAAGCACTGGGTGTTGGAGCCCGTCTTTTTCCTCCTTGTCCCCGAACCACAGGGAGAACAGGAAGGCGACGAAGAGGAGGGGCCCATTGTGGACGCTGAAGCTGAGGAGGGGGACGCTGATGCTTCTGATGCCAAACGCAAGGAGAAACAAGAAGAGGAGGTGAGGGGACTGGCTGGGGTGAGGGGCGGTGTCACATCCCTCCTGTCACACCTGCAAGATAGTCGCTTGCCACGTATGGCCACACTTTTATTACCATGCTGGAATCCATTAGGAACCTTGAAGCAAATCTGGCCTCCCAGCACACGTCTCAATGGAGAAGATAAAGTTCGCAGGGCAGGAATTAGACAGGGGCCATCCCTGGGCTGCCCTTTGGCTCTGTAGTGAATCAGATTCAGGGACCCAGAGGCTTTTTGCAAGGAGGTGAAGTCAGGCTGCCTCTTGGTTTTACAATGAAAATATACTAAAACCAGTCTCATGGGGGCGCTTGGGTGGCTCAGTCGGTTAAGCTTCTGACTCTTGGTTTTGGTTCAGTGGGGAGTCTGCTTGAGATTCTCTCTCTCCCTCTGCCCCTCCCCCTGCTTGTGCTCGCTTGCCGTCTCTCTCTCTCTCTCTCAAATAAATAAATCTTAAAAAACAAAACAAAAATAAAAACCAGCCTCAGGACTGCCACTAGGACAGAGGGCAGTTGAGAGGGGCTGAGGAAATTGACAGGCAAGAGAGAGCTCGAGGAGGGTGGAAGGTGTTGGGAGTTGGGACTGAGGGACTGGCATTGGCAGGGGAGGGGCCCCCAGGACAGAGGAGAAGGCAGCCCAGGCTGGGTGGAGTAGGGACCTGGGTGCTGCCAGTCAGATAAGGCCTCTGCAGGGGCGCTTGTTCGCAGGCAAAGTCCAGACAGATGGGGGTGCCCAGGTGACACAGACCCCATCCCCTGCCAGGTCGATTATGAGAGCGAGGAAGAGGAGGTTGAGGAGGATAACGACGATGAGGACATGCAGGAGGAAGGTGCTCACAAGGCCCAGGAGCAGGATGAAGAGGTGGGCTTAGGCCCCCAGGAGGACTCGCCCCCTGCCGCCCCCCTCAACCAGCCCCGGAAGTCCACCCGCAGCAGAGAGCCCCAGGGAGCCGGGGCCGTGGAGCGCCGGGTGCAGGCGGTGCGCGAGTCGCACCCGTTCATAGAGGACTACCAGTATGACTCCGAGGAGAGCCTGTGGTGCCAGGTTGGTACCGCTCGCGACCCCCACAGAGGCCCGGCCAGGGGCCTGCTGCTGAGCTCCTCCCCGCGCCGTTGGCTGGCATGCGGGGTCTTTGGCTGTGGGTTGTGGTCTCTTCATCATCCCAGATCCCTTAAAGGATCTGGGGCAGCTGTGGACCCTCTGCCCCACATCACTGCCCTCCGCATTTGACTCAGACCGCTAGTGGGCCAGTTCTTTTTGATTCTTCAAGAACAGTGTGTATACATGAGTCTGATCGGCTGGGCCCCACAGGTACTTTTAAACATCTCACCTCAGTCATTTCACCTTCGGTACTACCGAGTGACCGTACCTCAGAGTTGTTGCGGAGGCCGGCAGGAGTGCGCTAGTTCCTCGCACCCACGGCCTCTAGTCACCAACTTCAGGGTCCCTGTAAAGGCTGGCTGGTTAGGATGCCTACACAGCTACACTCAGACTGATGTTTTTGTCCTTTGCTTTGGTCCAGTCCAGTGGTTCCCAAATGGTAACGTAGATAAGAGTCGTTGAGCAGGTTACCCACACGAAATGACAGTTGTGACACTTTGTGGTGATCGAAAGGCTACCAGGGGCACTGTTGAGCAGATAGGATTTTCAGCAGCATCTGTGAAGGTGTCACCTTCGTGTGGGTGACTGGAGATGGCTGCTGTGTGTGGTCCGTTCTGCCACCCAGTGTTTGCGTGTGCAGACCCAGCCTACCCCAGCAGGGCCACCTGCCCCCAGCCAAGGTGTTTGCTAAGCAAGCTTTGAAGGCGTCGCCCAGGGAGCCAGCTGTGGGGGAGGGCTAGCCCCCTCCCCTCGCACAAACCTCCCTCCTCCTGCAGGTGACAGTGAAGCTCCCTCTGATGAAGATTAACTTTGACATGAGCTCCCTGGTAGTGTTGCTGGCCCAGAGTGCTGTTGTCTACGCGACCAAGGGCATCACAAGGTGCCTCCTCAATGAAACCACCAACAAGAAGAATGAGAAGGAGCTTGTCTTAAACACTGAAGGAATCAACCTGCCGGAGCTGTTCAAATACGCTGAGGTACATATCCCCTTTCCAGATTGTCAGCTGGCCAGGAACGAGGCCCCACGCTGTCTCGGGGCCTGGCCACCAGGAGGTGAGGTCCCTGGGCCCTCTTTTTGGGATCCACCATGCGCGTTAGCCTAGTTAGGACTTGCGGTACAGAAACCTGCTTAACGTTCTCTAACCCAGGGTTTCTCAAACTCATTTGGCTCTAAATTTTTTTCCTTGAAATTAAAACCTCCGCAAAGTCGATTTGTAAGAAATAGTTGCTGAATTCCTGGCTTGGGAGCTGCTCATTTCATCTGGTAAAGGGGGCCCTGGGAGCAGAGGTGGCCCAGACCAGCGGCGCAGTTTGCTTTGTCCCACCTGCTCCTCCTGCTTCATTCTCCCACTTTGTTGTGTCTCCTGGGACCTTTTGAGATGCTCTCAACCCCTGGGCACAAGGGTTTCCCCCAGAGAATACCGAGGTGCTGGGACCCCTGTAGCCCACCGTCGCCGGTCTGCACCCAGCTCACGAAGCTCTCCCTTCCTGGAACACTGCTCCTCCCACAACAGTTGCCCTGCAGAGGCCCTTGCTGCCCGGACGCCTCCTTGAGGACAGAGCAGGGGGGGCTTGTGCCTCCTGAGAGGCAGGCCCCAGCAGGGTGAACTCCGTCATGCTCATGGCATTTGTTTGAACGAGGCCGGGGTCTCCGCCGTGTCCTGTGGGGATGACGTAGTGCAGAGCCACCTTGGGGCCTCCGGAACAGCCGAACTGGAGCCTCAGGGCCCTAACGAGGCCCGGCTTTCCCCCCCGGAGCTGCCCCACCACTGCCCCTGGTGCCCTGGAGAGGGATTTAAGTGTCTGCTGGAGAACTTCCCTCGCCTACCGAAGGACGTCTCAATCCTAGGAAACACGTCGATCTGTTCAATAAATAAGGAAATACCTTTCTTCCTGTTGACCTGAAGCGGGTAACAAGTTATCTCTGGGCTCTGGTGCCGACAGCGAGACAGACCGTGGGGCCTGGCCACCCACAGCTCTGCCTACACTGTCTCCCTTCACTAATCCTGGGCCACCCCTGGACCACATCGTCGGCAGCTGTGCTTGACTACCAGACAAGGCGCAAGCTCGGCCAGGGTGGGTCATGCCAACGGAAGGGAGCAGAAGGCCAGGCCCTCCCACTCAGCCCCTCCTTCTTCCCTAGGTTCTGGACTTGCGCCGCCTCTATTCCAATGACATCCACGCCATGGCCAGCACCTACGGCATCGAGGCCGCACTGCGGGTGATCGAGAAGGAGATCAGGGACGTGTTTGCTGTGTACGGTAAGAGGGGCCGTGGAGAGCGCTCAAAAGGTCCCGGCGTGGCGGGCCAGCTCTGTAGGGATGTGGGTGCAGTGAGCGTGTGGCCTGTGGGAGACTCTGACAGTGATCTGGGAGGACAGGTTTCAGTCCTGTCACTGAGGACTTCTCCCCTCCCCACCCCCACCCCCACCGACCTGTTTCTCATCTGGCCTTTGAGGAAGCTCCTGCCTGATGACGTGGCCCCTAGCCTGCCTTCAAGGTTTGGGCTCCCAAGTGAAACAGCGCTGCAAGTCTGGAGTCAGTTTCCTAGGCTAGTGGATAGAAGCGGAGAGTGGGTTGTACTGATAGTGGGCAGGGATGAGGGGGACTGCCCCGCTGAGGTTGGGGGCTAAGTAGCTGACTGAATAGGTGACTGAGCTGGAAGCGGAGCCTGGGGGTCTGATATCTGAGCCTATGAGCTGCCTTGTGTCGGGTGACACTGTCCCAACTGTCCCCTTGTCATTGCATAATCCTTTCTGGTGTTGCTGCCAACGTGACAGGCATTGCGGTCGATCCCCGCCATCTCTCCCTGGTCGCCGACTATATGTGCTTCGAGGGCGTGTACAAGCCGTTGAATCGCTTTGGGATCCGATCAAACTCCTCCCCTCTGCAACAGATGACATTTGAGACCAGCTTCCAGTTTCTGAAGCAGGCCACCATGCTGGGTCAGTGCATGGGCGGGTGCCCTTGGCCTTCCCTCTCCTAAGTCTGCTCTGGGCAAACAGCCTTGTCTCTTGGGCACCTTTCCACATGCCTTCCACACAAGTGAGATCTTGGGATCTCACTGAGGAAGCAGCTGGGGAGGGTGGGCAGTAGATGGGAAAGCTACCTCTGCCCTTTTGAAGGAAAGGGGGAAGGACCTTCCTTCCTCTTTCTGCAAGCAGAGCTACCTCACAGAACCTAATCGGCCTCCAGGACTCAGGGTCTCCTGCTGGCCTCTGAGATGCCCTATCTGCCCAGCCTCTGTTGAGCCCCCTCCATCCCCTTACCTCATTCCAACTTCTCCCTCAACCACCTAACAAGAGCTCTTGTGTCTCCCAGGATCGCACGATGAGCTGAGGTCCCCTTCCGCCTGCCTCGTGGTCGGGAAAGTCGTCCGGGGCGGGACAGGCCTGTTCGAGCTCAAGCAGCCCCTGAGATAGTGGCCACCGCCTACCATCTACCCGGCCTGGAGGACAGCCAGGAGGACCTGGGGGCGGGCCTGGCCTGCCCGTCCCATGAGAGGCCCGGGAGAGCGGAGGCCAAGGTGGCCCAGGTGGTTGTTCAGGGCACGGCAGTGATGCTGGGGGGCCGTGAAAGCAGCTGGCCTCAGGGCTGGACCAGCTTCAACTGGAAAGTGGCAGCGTTCCTTGGCCTTCCCCGTCTCGGGATATGAGCAGGGTTCACCGAGTCCCCTGAGTCCCTCTCAGGTGGCCAGCCCTTCCCCTGTGCGGCACCTCTGAGGCAGGGAGGTGAGGTCTTGTTGCTGTGAGCAGCCAGTGACTGCAGGCAGGATTCTGGGGTGGGGCTCTCGCCATCCTAGGGGCAAAGTTCGCTCAGGGCCAAGCCCACGCCTCTACCCGCCCAGCTTCTGTACCCGGCAGCTCGGCCCCACACGTAGAACCCCGAGTCGCCAGCCAGGCTGTTGGAACAGGTTGCCTGGCTTATCTTACCCAGCTCTGCTCTCAGCATTGAGGCCCGCAACCCTCTCTGCGGGCCCTGCTCCCTCTGGGCCGCCCAGCCTCCCTTGACCTCTGGCACCACAGCAGGGGACCCTGGCATGACTAGAAAATCAGAGGACTTGTACAAAGGTTTTGTAAAACCAGAGGCTGTTTCTATTTTTGTCTAATGTTATTGCAGCTCAGGCTGAGTAATAAACATCACTGGAACTAGCTCTTGGGAGGGGGAAAAAAATTAAAAAGACTTCAGTTTTTGTTTTTTCCCTTGGTTTGTGGTTTCTGCATTTCTGATCTGAGAGTCCAGGACTGTGATTTCTCAGCACAGTCGTGTCTTGGGTCCCTTCTGTTCCTGTCAGAGGACATGGGGGAGAGCACAGCCCCTGCTGCGTCCCCTTTCCTGAGCCAGCTTCTGCCCCCGTGGCCAGGAGAGTAGAAGCCAACGGGAAGGACCCATGTGTGTCGGGCAGGAAGGGAGGCCTTGCTCGGGGAGAGTGACCACGCTGCTCCCTCCAGACACGTGACAGGTCTACCCTATGCTGTGCCCATGGTAGGGAGAGTGGCAGCCCCAGCATACTGGGGCTTGGGTACAGAGGAATAAGCACAGCCTCTGAGGGGCACAGGAAACAGGGGCACAGTGGAATCCTGTGCCACAGGTTAAGGCATGTGTTCTTGGGGCAGTGGGCCAGTTTACGACTCGATAATTTCCACTCCTACCAGAACTGTGGGGGAGGGCTCCCCGGGAGATCACGAGGTAACCCACTGGACAAAGGAGCGTGCTTGCATGGCCACCGTGGCTCAGCCCCACTCAGGCACCGAAGGTACGAAGGGGAAGGAGCAGGCCCAGAATACAGACAGGGGATGCGCACAGCACACTGAAGTTAGACCTGTGTTGGGAGGCGAGGTGATGACCCCCTGCCCTTCCTGCCCGATCCGTCCGTGCATTTCCTGGGCACCTCTGTTTTCCATGTGTTTCTCTCCCAGGATACACCTGCTTTGTAAGCAGATATTCCAGAGCTTGCTCATCATGTTGCCTGGAATCCCCGGGCTCCCCAGCTGGTATCACATGCTCACCTCACTGGTTCTCTCTGTCAGAGCGTCCTTGGGGGGCCTCCTGGACTGTTTAAGGTGGCATGTTCTTTAGAATATGCTGTGTACTGTAAATGCTCTGGGGGCACTTGTGATTTTTTGGAAAGCACCACAAGTAGGTCCAAGCCAAATCTGATGAAGAGGATAGATCAAGGTGCATAATCATGTTTTAATCAAAGTAGAATGGAGAGTGATGGTTAGGCGGGGTTCACAAACTTCACGGAAGCTGTGAGTTCTTTCAGAACCCTGAGGTGCTGGAGCCAGCCGCTGTTCTTGGGTGTCCTCCCCGCCTCGCCCCTTTGTGTGTCAATATCTTACCTACTTGCTTGCTTACAACTTCGCTTCTTTTTAGTCTTTCTTTTTCGGGTTCTCACAAAAAACTACCCGCATTCCCGCAAGAACCCCTTGTGAGTCTTTGACATTTTCTGTCTGAACCAGGAAGAAAACTGAGGGGTGGGTGAAGTGCTTTGTCCTGTTCCCAGCTTGGATCTTAACTTTCCTTTCTCTCCACTGTCCTTGTTCCCAAATAGATGTACAAAATGTAAGTAGGTTCCTCCTGGGCCTTCCTGGCCCTGTCAGGGCTTTCAGTCCACGGCTCTGATAAACCACTTCTGTGAACAGTTGGCTCCTTCTTGTGTGCCCCTCCCAGTTCTCTAGGCTGTGGCTGGTTTTAATTTTGGTGAAATAACATAAAATGCACCCTCATAACTATTTTTAAGTCTGTAATTCAGTGGCATTAAGTAGTTGCATCATTACGTAATCAGCACCATCATCTGTCCACAGAGCCCTTCATCTTGCAAAGCTGAATCTCTGTCGCCATCAAACACTGACTCCCCCATTCCTCTGGTGACCACTTGCCCCTGGGGCAGCCACCCCGTTCTTCCTGCTGTCTCTGCATTTGACTCCTGCCTCCGATGAGTGGAATGATTATTTGCTCTTTTGTGATTGGCTTATTTTACTTGATGTAATGTTGATGTTCATCAGTGTTGTGGCATGTGTCAGAATTTCCTTCCTGTTGAAGGTTGAATAATATCCCACTGTGTGTCTGTTTCGTTCATCCATCCAACCATCGATGGACACTTGGGTTGCTTCTACCTTTTGGCTCTTGTGAATGCTGCTGCGAACACGGATGTACAAATCTCAAGACCCTGCTTCCAGTTCTTTGGGGTTTAGACCCAGAAGTGGAATTGTTGGATCGTTGGCAGTTGGCAGTTCTGTTTTTCATGTTTTGAGAAGCTGCCATGCTATTTTCCACAACGTCTATACCATTTTACATTCCCACCCACAGCACACAAGGCTTCCGATTTCTCCACCCCCTTGCTGATGCTTGTTCTTTCCTCTTTTGTTCTATATGGCAGCCATCGTGATTTGAGTTAGGGAGTGTCAGATGGTGGGGCGCTTAGGTGGTCTGCACCTACATAGACTTAGGAACCACTTTAGAAGTGTCTCTCTGGCTTCTTCTCCGAGAGAACGCCAAATGGCGGATGACGCCGGTGCTGTGGGAGGACCCGGAGGGCCGGGGGGCCCTGGAATGGGAGGCCGCAGAGGCTTCAGCAGTGGCATCCGGGACTGTGGTCGGGGCCGGGGTCAAGGCCGTGGAGCTCGCAGAGGCAAGGCCGAGGACAAGGAGTGGATCTCCATCACCAAGCTGGGCTGCCTGGTCAAGGACATGAAGACCAAGTCCCTGGAGGAGATCTCTCTCTTCTCCCTGCCCATCAAGGAATCTAGGTCATTGATTTCTTCCTGGGAGCATCCCTCAAGGACGAGGTTCTGAAGATCATGCCTGTGCAAAAGCAGACCCGTGCTGGCCATCGGACCAGGTTCAAGGCGTTTGTTGCCATCGGAGATCACAACAGGCACGTGGGCCTGGGTTTCAAGTGCTCCAAGGAGGTCGCCACTGCCGTCCGTGGGGCCATCGTCCTGGCCAAGCTTTCCATCGTCCCCGTGCGGCAAGGCTACTGGGGGAACAAGATCGGCAAGCCCCACACTGTCCCATCCCGGGTGACTGGCTGCTGTGGCCCTGTGCTGGGGTGCCTCATCCCCGCCCCCAGAGGCACTGGCATGGTCTCAGCCCCTGCGCCCAAGAAGCTACTGATGCTGGCCGGTATCGACGACTGCCACACGTCGGCCAGGGGCTGCACTGCCACCCTGGGGAACTTTGCCAAGGCTACTTTTGATGCCATCCCCGAGACCTACAGCTGTCTCACCCCTGACTTCTGGAAGGAGACGGTGTTCACCAAGTCTCCCTATCCGGAATTCACTGACCATCTTGTGAACACCCACAACAGAGTCTCCGTGCAGAGGACCTAGGCTCCAGCTGTGGCCATCACGTAGTTTTATACAAGAAAAATAAAGTAAACTAAAGCTTGTTAAAAAAGAAGTGTCCCTCTGTTGCTTGCCAATCTTACACCTTTGAGTTGACAATTGAATTGGGGGCTGTAGGAGTCTAGAAAATGCTCCTGAAATAGGAAAGACTGGTTCTTAAAGACTGGTGGCGTGACAGTCGTCCTGCAGATTTCTGAGTGGGGCAGCCCTGGACTACAGGGTGGGAGGGGCAGTCGCCGCCTGTGCTTGAGGGCGTGCAGCTCAGGTGATGGGATTGCCGGGCCCCCACGGGTCTCCCAGCCCCATTGCCATTTTTTCTCTCCTGCCTCATTTACAAGGGGCTCTTCGGTTGCAACCACCAAAGTAGCTACAGTCAAATGTCTTAATTCCTACACCATCAAACCCCCCTTTTGGCCAATGTCCACTTAGTACGGAGGTTCTCAATTCTGCGCGTTGAGCTTTCCACCTGGGAAGCTTTTTAAAAAACTGATTCCAGGGGACTCTCCCTGAGATTCTGATTTAATGAGCCTGGGGTGTGGCCTGCACATTGGAAGATCTCCAGGAGAGTCTAATGTGTGGCAGATTGAGAACAGGCGACTTAGAATAAGCCCTAAATTGTGCAAGTCACAGTCACTCACTTTCTTGTCTGTGGGATGACTTCGCAAGGAGTGAGTCATTGGGACCCAGTTTCCCCACTGAGATTTTAAGATCTGATCTCTGCCTTCAAAAAGTAGAAGTGTGTATGTACGTGTGTGATAAAGCTGTTATGGGGCCACAATAGAGGTCTGCAACGATAGAGTGGAGATCAAAAGACACCCCAGTCTGCTCTGCCTGGGGTTCAGCAAAGAAAGGTGTGATGCTTCCAGGCACAGAAAGGAGGACCGCAGCTGCCCCCCAGCCCCGCACATGGAGGGGGCTGCTTGTTCAACGTGGAAGCTCCTGCCTGCAGCTGGCCTGTAGGGGCGGGTGGCGGGGACACCTGACCAGTGAGTATTTCCTACAAGAACTTCTTGAGAAGAAGTTGCCGTGTCCAAAGTGAAGCCCTTCCATGAGGTCCGCCCCTCCAGCTCTAAGCTGCATGCCCTCCCCGCTCCGTGAGCAGCAATCAGGGAGCTCCATTCGGCCCGGAACTCATTACAGCTCGGGTTTGTTCGCAGGCCCAGGGAAAGACCAGAACCCGTTACAGGGAACAGGGCTGAGCTCCTCAGCTCACCTTGGCTGTTCAGGTGACGCCCCTTGAGTGACTCTAGGAACCAACGGCTTTGGGCTCCGGGGCCCGGAAGGCACGTGCCAACCTAAATATCCTGACCGTGCCCCTCCTCCCCCAGCCTGCACCCACTTGACCTTGATGCCCACTGCACTAGGCATGCAGAGATGGAGGAAACACACCGGCCCTGCCCTCACAGAGCTCACAGCCTAGTGCCCCAACAGACAAGCCAGCTGGAAACAGCCTCATCGTGACCTGGCCAAAGGTTGAGGAACCCACCAGGTGACATGCACCCCCACACACTACCCCACCAGTCCGGGTAGGACCGTGGCCCACCCACCTGGCCACAGCAGGGCTTTGGGGACATGGCAGAGCGGGAAGGAAAGTGAAGGGCGTGAAATTGAGAATCAGGAGTCCAGTCATCACTACCTGTCCTCATGTGCCCACTCCCACGCCGGCTGCTCTACCTTCCCCCCCTGAACATAGGAGAGGCCACTGTGTGGGTCAAACGCAGTGTTGCTTGCCCTAGATCTTTCCTTGCCAGTTGCGGTCAACCTTGCTCAGGAGGTTGGCTGGCTCTGCCAGAGGCTGCTTTCTGGACTGGCCACCCAGCCCTGTTGTCACTCACAGGTGACAGGATCAGACACCACAGGCCTCAGCTGGACCACAGTAGAAACTCCCTCACCCATGATTCTTGCCTAGAAACATGAAGTTCTACAGACCTTCAACTAGGCAAACCTCAAGACCGTGGCTGAGCAGTGTGGCCGCACTTCGGGTGAGGAGCTGAGCTCTGAAATCGGACTCCTCCTCACGTCGTGGGTCCTAAACTGACAGTGTGACCCTAAGAGGTTACTTGGCATCCCTGCGCCTCAGTTTCCTTGTCTGTAAAAACAGTGATTAAAATTAAGTAAGTGCTCATATAAAATCATATACAGCTATAAATGTTTACCTATATCCCAGGCAGGTCTCAGCTGGGGGCGGTTTTGCCCCCTGGACATTTGACAATGTCTGGAGACATGTTTGGTTGTCAAGATTGGAGTGCCGGGGGCGGGGGGGGGCGCTCAACTGTCATTGAGTGGGTAGAGGCTGGGGTGCTACTCCACAGCCCGCAACACACAAGACCGCCCCCCGCAATGGAGAATTATCTGGGCCCAAGTATCAGTGATAGCGAAGTTGAGAAACCCTGCCACGAACGCATGCGTGGAAGGGTTAATGTTTTTTCTTTTACAAAAGGGAATCATTTACATTTTAGTCATCCTGATAGGTAAACAGTGGCATCTCATGGCTACTTTAATTTGCAATTCTCTATCAACAGTTCTTGGTTATTCTGATTTGCACTTCTAAGAATTGTCTATTTGTATCCTTTGCCCATTTATCTATTGGTTTGTTTCTATTGACCTTCACTGTCAATTCTAAAGAACTCTTATTATAGATAAAGATAACCTTTTGTCATCTGCTTTAAATACTTGCCCCCGCAAATTAAATGAATGAGATAATACAGGCCAAGAGTTTAGTGCAGAACCCACACCATGGTTAAGGGGGTTAGCTATGGGCCACATGGGGCCAAGCTCACCCCTAGATTTTAGTGTGGGCAGCTGAGGCATCTTCTGAGGTCCATGGATTGAAAGGGGGGCTCACAAGAACACTACTACGCCTGTGACAGTCTCCACAGTGCCGGAGGGACCGCAGTAACAGCAGAAAGTCACCGAAAGTCAGGTCCGGAGCGGAGCACACAGAGCCCTGAGCTCCTGCTCGGACCACCCTCAGCTGGAGCTCAGCAAGCGCGGGCAACGGGCAACTCCCTTAGGTGCGTTAATTCGCCAGCCCCCCTGGCGACCCCATGAGGATGCTGTTGGCTCCTTTCGTGGTAACTTGTCCACGGACACAGCCAACGAGGAACAAGGATTTGAACCCGGGCGACTGGCCCCAGAGTCTGGGTTCCCACTCTCCTCACTGTGCGCCCCGCCCCTCCGCTCGGACCCTGAGAAAGGAGTTTTCATATCAGACGCTGCCTACAAGGAGAAGGGCAGGTAGATATGAGGGCACCAAAGGCCACCCCAGGCCAAGGGACGCTTCTCGAGTATGTGTCCCGGAGGCCCCGATGGAACTGCTGGGGGCAGGCGATCCTAGCTGGGGAGCCGGCAGCTCACAAGAGCCGAAACTGGAACAAATAAATAACAAGCAGCCACCTTAAAGAACTAAGAAGCCCCCTCGAAGGCCCAAATAAACATAGAGGTAAATCTTGAAGAGTTTGAGATGTGGTGAGGGCCTGACCAATGGCACTTCTCCACATGGACTCTCAGAACCTTCAGGCTGACTCTTCACTGCAGAGGAGACTGGTACCAGGTACAAGGACCTCTGTGATATTATCTCACGTGGTTCCCTCAATCCTGCCGTGCACGTCCCATTGGCCCCATTTTGTGGTTGAGGAAATAGATCCAGAGAATGTGAGAGCAGTGCACCAGAGTCAGATCAGATCCCGAAGCAGACGCCGGGGCCGGTGTCCCTCTTGGAGTGGCGCCTTTGCATGGTGCGGCCCCTGGTACTTCCATCCGGTTCTGATGGCTGAGGGGGGCACGTCTTCAATTCCATTCATCAGGCACCTTAGCGATCTTCTTGAAAATAGCAACAGGGGCCCTGAGGAATGAGACCCAGGTCAGGGAGGGGAGAGAAGGTCCACAGAGGTCTGGTGGGCGAGCCCAGGAGAGGGTGGACTGCAGGGTTCACCATGGGTCACGGGTGGGACAAAGGATGGTGGAGCAGTCAAAGGCAAAATTGGACAGCTTGGCCATCTAAGGGCCGAGGGCTGGCTGCTCCCAGTGCCCGCAGGACTTCTGCCCCTTCTCACTGTGTTTCCCGGCCTGCTTCCCAGCCCTGCCTCTGAAGGCCTGGCCTGGGTGAGCGCCTCGGGGACGGGCTCGTGGGCCTGACACAGCACTCTACCAGCTGCCCGTCCCACCGACCAGCTCCTCACCCGGCGTCCTGCTGCCTGAGGACCACCCAACCCCAGGGGAAGGCTGTCCCGGCTTTGCACAGTGCCAGGCGCTCTTACAGAGCCTGGAAGGCCACCCTGGCCCCTGGCCTGGAACGCGTTATTTTCCCTCCGCCAGCGATCTGACTCACTCTGACTCCTCCACATCCGGTCACACTACAGGCCTGGGGCCCTCAGCAGCCAATAGCCACCTGGTCAGCCCAGCCCAGGTTTTGCGCTCTAATATTAAATGTGGGACCAGGAAGAAAGGAAACCAGAAAGGGAGGGAGAAAAGGAGGGATGGAGAACTCGTGTGTCCGTGGTCCTCAAAATGAGCAGCTTTTTCTCCTCCATTTTCTAGAGCGGTGGGTCTCAAAGCGAGGTCCCGGACTCAGCGTGCCCGAGAACTGGGAGAGATGCAGATTCTCAGGCCCCACCCTAGACTTCCTGAACCCGAAACTTGCAGGTGGGCCCGCCTCTGTGTCTCCATGAGCGCCCTGGGGCTTCTCCGTCCTGCTCCAGTTTGAGAACCACTGCCCTAGAACTGTCACCAGGGAGTGTTTTTACCTCTGCTGTCCTCCTTTTAGCTATCTCAGCCCTAGGGCTCTTCTGGCCTTATTGAAATGGCCCCAGAGGCCCCTCCACCTTCCCAGACATCACCCCTGCAGTGCCCCCGTTTGACCCAGCAAGAGGGGAGCCTGGAGGGCAGCCTGGGCGGGGGTGGCGGGCCCACAGCAGGCAGCCGCAACTCTGCGTCCCCCACATCTGTGTGTTCACTGGAACCTCCCCACAATCTGCGAGGTAGGCAGGCGAATACCACCGCCTCGGTT